CGAAGTGCAGTTTCCACCGAGGCTCCAGCCACTTGCCTGCCGCTGACCACTCTTCCCAGAAGCCCTGTTGATGCAAAGTCATTGACGCAGGCTAAGAGGCCAGTGACCCCGTCCTGTACGTGGGCTACTCCAGGGGCTGTACCCTTCTCTGCTTCTTCCACTTTTCCTCTACCGCCAAGTGGAATCCCTTTCTAGAAGACAAAATCTAAAGTTCATTACTGATTTTCAAACCCAGGGAGAGTGATACTAGCCCCTTTCCTCACCTCCCAGGCACAGCTCACAGTGTGTCCCAGTCTGGGAACTTGGGTTCCCTGTAACTTCCAGCTGGAGAGACAGTCACAAGCTCAAACATCAGATTTGGTCCAGGACTTCTTTGGAAGGGCTTTTGCTGCATGTGTTGATGATCGAGCGAAGCTAATGGCTGCCCTATCTTGTTCTGTAATAGAGATGTAATAGTTGAGATGTTTTTGGCTGCAACCAAATCCCTAAATTATGCTGGCTTAAAGAATAAGGACAATGTTTATCTCCTACAGCAAAATAGCCACAGCGAAGGTTCCAGGGTTGGTTGATTGAGCAGCCCGATGACGTCAGTGCTCTGCATCACCTTGTCTTCCGTTCTCTTGACTGTACCCTCATGGTTTCAAGATGGCTGCCACCACGGCACACATGTTCTCATGATCCAACGTAGAGCGAAAGAAAAGAACAGGGAATATCTTTCCCAGAAGCTCCCAGCAGACCCCATCTAGAGAACTCTGCACTGGGTTGGGTTACAGGGCCAACACACCACCCGCAGAGGCTGATCCAGCACCTTCCCACGGCCCTGACCTCGTGACTGGGCACAGCCAACACTCCCCTGCTCGGTTGCTGCCAAGGAGCTGTCTCTTGTAAAGCGTGGATTATGCATAAAAAGCAAGCGGTTGTCCCTGGGTGGTGGCATTGCATGAGACTTCCTTTCTTCAGAAAGCTTTATGCAGCAAACACGTGTTACTTTTAAAGTAACTCCAAACGTAACAGAAGCTTTGCAATAGAATGGGGAACTCCTATCGACCTTGTACCCAGTTCACCAGTATTTGACATTTCACCATTTGCTTTCATTTGTTTGCTTTCTCTCTATTTTTTTTAAAATCAGTTTGAAGTCTGCAGTTATCATTCCCTTTTCCTCTCTAACATGTGGGTGTGTACATCCCAAGAACAAGAATATTCTCAGGGCTGGCACTGTGGTGTAGCAGGTAAAGCCGCTGCCTGCAGTGCTGGCATCCCATATGTGTGCCGGTTAGAATCCCGGCTGCTCCACTTTTGATCCAGCTCTCTGCTGTGGTCTGGAAAAGCAGTAGAAGATGGCCCAAGTGCCTGGGTCCCTGCACCCGTGTGGGAGACCTGGAAGAAGCTCCTGGCTTCTGATCAGCATATCTCTGGCCTTTGCGGCCATCTGGGGAGTCAAACAACAGATGGAAGACCTCTCTCTCTCTCTCCCTCCCTCTCCCTCTCTCCCTCTCCCTCCCTCTCTGCTTCTCTGTAACTCTGCCTTTCAAATAAATAAATCTTTTTAAAAAATTCTGAAAGATTAGCAGAATAGTTATAGAATTTAGATTTAATGTTGATACCTCAGTTTTTAAATCTACCACTCCTATTCTAATTTTGTCAGCTGTTTCAGTTCTGTCCTTCATAGAAATTCTTTTCTATAAGCAACATAAATCAGGAGAATGTGTTCAGTGTCCTTTCCTGTCTGTCTAATGTCCTTTTGCCCGGGCCACTTCCTCAGCCTTTCTTTGCCTTTCCTGCCCTCTGGAAGAGCAGCCCTGTGATCTCACTGAATGTCCCTGAATTTGTGTTTGCTTGGCGTTGCCTGGTGATTGGGTTCTGACCGTGCCTTTTGGCCACTGTTGCCCACGTGGTGTGGGCCTTTCCAGGTGTCCCTGGAGCTGCGCCAGCTCGCTCTGCCCCTCCATGGTAGCGGGAGCTTTGATCACCTGGACAGTGTGCTGCCTGAGCGCCACACTCATGTATGGTTGTTTTAATCGTAAAGGCCGATTATTTCAAAATAATAAATTAGAGAAGATCAAGAAAGTGGGAATCGAATTCAAATGAAAGAATTGCATGCCCTGCGCTCTCTCTCCTGCACAAAGAACAAGGAGTGGTAATGAACTTGAGAGGCAGAAACGGGACATGGAAGCATTAGGCTGTGGGTAGGAAAGTGAGGACTGCAGAGGCTTAACTCACCCAAGGTTAGTGGCGGAGCCTGAGCCAGGGCCAGGGGACTCTGTCCCTGATCTGTCACCTTCCGGCTCCGCTGTGCCTGTGAGCCCAAGGACACCAAGTGCTTCCTCTGCTCAGCCACCACCAAAGCACTCTTGAAAAGAAGAAATCCCATCCCCGACTCCGTGCCCCTTGGGACTCCAACACCCCAGGGCCTTGATGAAAGCCGCAGATCTGTTCACTTGAAAGCACTATCCATGTCCCAACCGGAAATGAGATTCCTGTTTTATCATTTAAATGAGTTACCTTATTCCCCCAGTTATCTCCGAAACACACTTCTCTCTGCTCAGAGCGCACAGCTTGGAGCCAGTGAGGAATGAGATAAACACAGCCGGCCTCCAACATGCTGGGTTCCTTCCACAGAGGTGCCTTTGTGTGTATGACTTGGGAGTAGAAGAAGGATGATGGTATTTCCCCCCTGGCTTGAAACGGAGTCAACTGTGCTATTTTGAAATCTGCCGAAGGCAGACAGGCCAAGAACCTATAATTGTAGAGTGATGGTCTTTTCTGGCAGCCACGTCTGTGCGTGTGTGTGGACTGTGAAAGGGAATACTGGACCAGCGGTGGATTCAGCGCCTGGAGCTGAGGTTTAGGGCCAGCGCTGTCGCTGCTTGATGTCGTTCCTGTATTGCTGTTTCGTTCACAATGGCACGTACAGACCTGGGTGTGCCTCTGCTTCTCCAGCTAGCGATGGGATGCTGCTCCCGTGCAGTCGCACGGGTATTGCCTAGAGAGCACACTGCATGGAACATTCTTGGAGGCCCTTCCAAGCACGGGCTGGGGGACTGCTCGGGGCTGAAATGCATCCCTTCCACAATTCACAGTCGTGTCAGCCTGCCCCTGTACTGGCGAGAGGGCTTTTTTTTTTTGACAGGCAGAGTGGACAGTGAGAGAGAGACAGAGAGGGAAAGGTCTTCCTTTGCCGTTGGTTCACCCTCCAATGGCCACCGCTGCAGCCGGCGCACCGCGCTGATCCGATGGCAGGAGCCAGGATCCAGGTGCTTTTCCTGGTCTCCCATGGGGTGCAGGGCCCAAGCACCTGGGCCATCCTCCACTGCACTCCCTGGCCATAGCAGAGAGCTGGCCTGGAAGAGGGGCAACCGGGACAGAATCCGGCGCCCCAACCGGGACTAGAACCCAGTGTGCCGGCGCCGCAAGGTGGAGGATTAGCCTATTGAGCCACGGTGCCGGCTTGCGAGAGGGCTTTTAAAGACTTCAGTTAAAATGAGATCATTGGTGTGGACCTTACTGGCAAAGACCATGAGAAGACCCCGCGGGAAGGCAGCCACCTGCAAAGCAGACAGCTCCACCTCGCACTCCAGCCTGTAACCGTGAGAAACGAGACTTCTGTTGTCGAAGCTGCCCGATCTGCGAGGCTTTGTTATGGGTGTCCTGGCAAATGAATACGGGTGCTTGGGAAAAGTGCTTCCTCCTCCCGGGCAGGATAACTGAATAATTGCAGACCCAGAGAAAGAAACAAAAGCATGAGACCACTCGTTAAGAAATTCTTTGTAATTGGGGCAGGTGTTTGGCCTAAGACGCTGCTTTGGACGCCTGCGTCCGGCATCAGAGTCTGTGGGTTTACTGCCCAGCTCTGACTCCTGACTCCAGCTTCCTGCTAATTCAGACCCTGGGAAGCAGCTGTGATGGCTCAGGAAGTCGGCTCCCTGGCACCCGTGTGGAAGACCTGTTTTGAGTCTTTGGCTCCAAGCTTCAGTTTGATCCTGGCCCAGCTCATTCCTGGCTGTTAGATATTTGGAGAGTAAGCCAGCAGAAGGGAGTTGTCTCTGCCTCTGCTTCTTGCATAAATAAATCAATACACACATACATAAAACTTAGTAAGAATTTCAAGATGGCAACAGCAGGGCCTCTAAGCCGAGGTCCCTGGGCCGCTGCACGCATCACCCACTCATGAAGCCGGTTCTGCTTGTAGACCTCAATTTCATCATGGAGAAAGTGGTGATAATCACTGCACCTACTTGTAGGGTTGCTGGGAAGATGAAATCACATTCCAGGATAAGCTCTCAGAGAACATGAAAGGGAGACCACAAAGGGTGTTGGAAGTCTCCCATTCATCATCTTGCCGAGGTTGGGTCCCAGGCCACAAGAAAGAACCAGTTTTCTTCTTCTCTCTTTGAGGTCAGGGAGCCATTAGCCAGTGAGAGCGGAGGGTGAGGGAGCGTGGACGTTTCAGCGCTGAGAGATTCTGCTTGGGTGAACAGAGAAGATGGGTTGATGATTTGCTTATTTCCAGTCTGAGGGTCTCTGCTGCACCGGAGCAGTTTCTTTCTCCCCCTCCCTCTCTTGGCGGCTGCGCAGGAAGTAGGCTCCACTGAATGTGCCATTTGGAGCCCAGAGCTTGCAGGTCGCTGCCTGACTTTCTGACAAAAGTGTTATTATTGCCACACATATGACTCTTTTATTCTATAAATAAATAAAGCTTTAGACGGCAACTGAACGCACCCCTGATGTCTGAAATAGGACAGGACAAATATAGTCGCGCTGGTAAGATTAATCCTCATTAGGAGATGGACAAGTCTGGAGATTTTGAGTGGCGTTTTGGAAGGGGACATTGTTGCCCTTGACATACTGTTGGTTCTGAAATAATTTGGAACCCATTGTGTTAAATGGATTAGAGTAAAACATCCAACACTACTATTTTTTCAAACAATAATATCACATGGAAATAGCGTTTAGGGTAAGCCATGAAGTTCTCCTAAGTCCTCTCTCTGCTGTTTCCGCAGCTTTCAAGGCCCAGTGAACAGAACACACCTTAATGGATCTTCTTTGCCGTTTCTTTGCTGTTCAGCCACTTCCAAGAAGGAGTAAGTGAGGGGTCCAGTCCTTTTCCTGCTGAACGTGAGGTCAGAATCACTGACTCACAGCGTCCTATGGTTGCCCCTTTGATAGGGAAGCTCAGACTTCATAGATGGGTCCCACGAGAAAGCTGTATTTTTCCTACTCGCAAGGGTACTCGGTTCAAGAGAAAAGAGGTTGTTAAGGGAATTTTTTTTAGTTAAACAAGATGGTAGTCAGATATGTCTTGACTTTGTTCCCATTTATAATTAGAATAAATCTGAGCTCCTTCAAGATGCCGAGAGATCTGGCTGCTGATGTGAGCGGCAGTGGAAAGATGAAGCAGTAGTCAAGCGCCTTTCCTGTGGGCTTTGTTCTCTGCCCCCATAATCATGGCCTCTGTATTCTACTTAGGGAGGGAATGAGGTAGGACAGGGCCATGCAATTAATATAATGACATGTAATTAATATGCAATGATAATTACGTGTTGTAAACTAACACATTCGAGAATTCCCTCCGTGTGTGGCAAAACACACCATTAAGACAGACTGGGCTGACCCACAGGAATGTCCCCAAGAAACAGGATTTAGAGATAATCTTGATCATGAAATCCTGTCTTTAGAACTTTCACTTCATTTCGGAATAAAAACGCTCACTTTGTCCAGCGCATTTCTTTCAGGGGAAGTGAAGTGCTCTCACGCTGATTTATTGTCTCATTTAAAGTCAGAGCACCAGGGTTGGGGTTGCATTGCCACAGTTTGTGCCTCTGATTGCATGCGTCATAGGCATCCTTATCAGAGTGCCTGGTGGAGCCCTGGCTACTCTGCTTCTGAGCTAGCATTCCTGGGGAGGCACCTGGGAAGACAGCAGACGATGGCCCCCGCCATCCATGTGGAGACCAGGATGGAGCTCCAGGCTGCTGACCCAGACCCAGCTCTTGTGGCCATGTGGGGAGTGAGCAAGTAGATGGAATATCTCTGTCTCTCCTCGTCTCTCTGTATTTCAAATAAATAAATAAATCTCAAGTAAAGAAGTCACAGCATCAATTAAGTCCTTTCAAGGTCAAGGCATTCAGCTGACTGCAGGTGTTAGAGGTGTGGTGAGAAACTTGAGGAAGGAGATGGCCTCATGAGAACGGGCTCAGGATTCAACAGTGAGTCTGCTTTGCCTCTCACTCTCAGATCGGCATCTCAGCACAGGCTCTGCTGCCAAGCCGGGTTGACTCTCTTCCTAGACAGGTGACCCTGAGCGAGTTGCTGAAGCTCTCCCAGGCTCAGTGTCTCCACCAGTGGGATGGAAGGAGTCAGATCTCCCGGTCAAAGTGAATGTCGCTAAAGCATTCACGATAGGAGTTGGTATGTGCCGGCGGTCAGTCATTGTCAAGATTGCTGGGATACTTCATTTCTGCAGCCGCTGCCCACTACTCCCATGGCTTCTCACTGTTCTCAGGGGGCTCTGATTTATCTGACCGTTCTGCTTTTAGCTGAGCTCATTTGCTATCCCCCATGCTTCTGCTTACCCCTGCTTCTGTTTTCTGCCCCTCTGCTTCTCCTTGACTCTATTTTCTGGTTTTCAGTCTGTCTCATGCTTAGTGTCTTGGGAGAAGATTTGATTGAGCTAGTTAGTGACTGCTCCTGTGGAGTTCCTTTGTTTTCTGCCCCAGGCTGTTGGCAGGTTTTTTTTTTTGTTTTTTTTTTGTTTTTTTTTTTAAAGATTTATTTATTTATTTGAAAGGCAGAGTTACAGAGAGGCAGGGAGGGGGAGAGAGGGAGAGAGAGAGGTCTTCCATCCACTGGTTCACTCCCCAGATGGCCGCAACTGCCAGAGCTGCACCCATCTGAAGCCAGGAGCCAGGAGCTTCTTCCAGGTCTCCCACATGGGTGCAGGGGCCCAAGGACTTGAGCCATCTTCTACTGCTTTCCCAGGCTACAGCAGAGAGCCGGATCAGAAGAGGAGCAGCCGGGAATAGAACCGGTGCCCATATGGGATGGCAGCACTGGAGGCAGCAGCTTTACCCGCTACACCACAATGCCCGCCTCCAGGTTGTTTTTGATTCAGGTGGGCCCATATGGCCCAGTCCTCGCCATCAAAGATGGTAACGGCCTCAGGGCGTCACCAAGGGACCATGCTGTGCGCAGGGAATCAAGTCGGTCTCTGTCACAAGGAGACTGTGGCTGCCCAGGGTTTCATGGCTGCACCCAAGGGCCCTCTTTTTTCACTTTAATACCATCCCCCATGTAGAGCAGAAACGTCAAGTGACGCTGGTTCTTGTAAGAGCACATCCTTTATTTAATTTTGCCAAGGCAGAGGTGCTATTTCTTACACTTCCTCTTATGTAGGAATGGGTGTAGATCTTTTTCCAGAAATGGCATCTTGCAATGCACAAGGTGGTTCTTTGGCAATTACGGTATCTGATTTAGAATTCAGCAGTACAGGGTCACAAGAAAGCTCTCCAAGGAGAAATGAGAGTCGAGAGGGTGAAAGCACTTAAAAGACACACTGAGGTGATGACTGGGACATGCTCTCTTTGCTTCCTTCATACCCTGGCTGGGTTAAGAAACCACAGTTCCAATAACCTGGCAATTCAAATGCTGCGCGGTCAGTGTCTTTCAGTGGCAAAGTCTCTGTCAAATGGAATGTGGAGCACGAGAAAGCAGCAGACTACGTTGTGCAGGCCTTGTGAGATAGACGCTCCAGCCCGAAGACTCACTTATCAGCAACTTCTTTGAAGTCGCCCGGAAAACTCCTTCCATGACAGCACTGATGTAAACCAGTTGTCCCATCCGCTCCTCTGTGTTTTGCTGCAGCTCACTCCTCTTAGTCTCCTTTGCCAGAGCTCTGGATTAAAGTCCAACGTGCCGTTTTAAAATGTGGATTCTAGGGAAGTAGAAGAATGTTAGTTAAAGATTAGGAGAGGCCGACCAAAGAAACAGTTAATGATTGTCCAGATGAAAACGTGAGTGGAGGGGAAATTCATGGGTCAGTCGGAGGCCCGGGGATCCTTGTGGCCCTGAGCCAGGGCATGGTGGGCATGGCAATGTTGATGATTGGTAGTGAACCATGGTAGATTATTGGAAAGATAAGCCTTCCTTAGCCTGCGGCAGGTGAAAGTCAAGGGGAGTAATGTGCTGCTTTGACTGAGCATGTTCCTGGGACCCCAAAGAGGTGTGTGCACAGTGCCTGCTGGTAGTGGGGATGGCAGGCCTGCTACCCCCAGAAAGGCCTGACACTGGGGAAGAGGCCTGGCGTGCTTGGGATGAACACTCCACGGATCATCAGCATGGAATGGAAAACTGGACTTAATCTTCTGTTAAAGGAGCTACTACGCATCGTAGCATAGCCAATAAAGCTGCCGCCTACAATGCCAGCATCCCATATGGGTGCCGTTTGTGTCCTGGCTGCTCCAGTTTCCATTCAGCTCCCTGCTGATGACTGGGAGAAGCAGCAGAATATGGCCCAAGTGTTTGGAGCCCTGCAGGAGACCTGGATGAAGCTCCTGGCATTGGCCTGGCCCAGCACTGGCTGTTTGTAGCCTTCTGGGGAGTGAACCAGCAGATGAGAGATCTCTCTTTCCTTCTCTGACTCTGTAACTCTTTCTCATAAATAAATCTTGAAAATAAAGAGATGGCTCTCCATCTTGGTGGCCTCTCTCAGGATACAGGCCTCAGACATCCTTTGTAGGAAATTCAATTAACTAAGTTTGTAATGGAGCTAATTGCTTGAGGGAATTTAATTTGTTTAACTTAGCCATTAATTGAACTTTAATCAAAGACCATGAGAGAGCAATCACGCTTATTTTTTAATTAAAAAATGTTTTCAACTTGGACTAACACAACGCCTAAGTTGAATGTTGATTTATTTATCTTGTGGGTAACTGGAGAGTAATGAGCCTAATTGGGTTGCATGAAAAGAGTGATTAAAATGCGACTCCTCACTTGTAGCAGATACTGTGCTGATCTACCTGTCTCTGTGGGCAGTAGGAGGGCCGGATTCATGGATGATGTCAGTGGGGACAGCTGAGTCATGGCTTAGTGTTCACCTAAGGGACGGTAACGTGCTGATGGGATTCTCACCAATGCCATTGCTCGAATCCCATGGAATAAGGAGCGATGGCCTTGAGAAAGGCTTGCAGACCTGAGCTTGTTCCATTCAGGTTTGGGGTCTGATGTGCACCGTGTGTTTCGTCCACTGAGAGTTGGGCGATGAGACTGGGATAACAGTTGGAGGCACTTAGATCCCTCGTGTCAGTAATTCCCAAACCTCAGAAGACCTGGCCCACAGCAGGCTCAGAGCTTAAAGCAAAAAGACAGCGTTTATCCCTTCACTCAGTCCGTTTTTATCTAATGTGTAGGAAATGCGGCTCTGAATTTTGTAAAAGATAAAACGATGAAACAGATCAGCATCCTGCCCTCGAGGACTCCAGGCAAGGTGCAGTCGAGAAGGCCCAAAACGCGGCTCTACAAATATTTGGAAGATTCTTTTTTTTCCCAAAAAAAAAAAAAAAAACAAATTTTCTTTCGACCGCCAGGGACTCCGGCCTGGTCTTCTGTCGTTTGGCATGGGCCATCGCAGTAGCTGCTTGCCTCGCCCCAGCCAGGTGGATTTTAGTAGACATGGGAACGCTCATTCCCTAAGTGAGGATGCGTTACTATGGAACATGGGTGCAGAGTTGTGCAGCTGGCACGTGGGCTGGAAGCTAACATGAGAAAGGTCAGCCGGAGGTCAAGAAGGAAAGGACCTTGGGTGCCAGTCAAGAAACTGTGGCTTTTGCTCCCTGGTAAAGGGGAAGTTGTTCAAGTGTCTTGAGAGGAGTCGGGGGGGGGGGGGGGCGGATCAGGACTGGGCTTCAGGGAGCAGCTCTGGGAGGTGAAGCCCAGACAGGCTACGGACATGAACTTGATGGATCCGGTGAGTAGGCAGTGTGTCCTCGGGCCTGTGCACTGTGGGGATGAGGTGACAAGAAGAGTTGGCTTGTCTCTGTTAGGAGGGCAGACTGGAAGGATGCAAGCCACAAACAATGATTTAGATGTAGAAGGCCCAAATAGCTCTGGAGTCTAATAGACCTTGGGTTGTAATCGCAGTTTCGAGTGTTCTGGAATAATCTGCGTAGGTGAGCTTGCCAAGCCTGGGAGACCGTATGTGAAAATGGCACTAATTAATTCGTGCCTTACAGGATGGTGCAGAGGATCAAATGAGACTCAAGACAGAGGTCTTTTGGGGGGAAAACGTCAGAAAAGCAGGCTCTGGCTTGACAGGTGAGGGTTCTTTCACGACAGGTGCTCCTGGACGCCAGGTGAATTCAAGCAGAGACCCCGTAAGGAAGGCTGCAGGGGCATTCCGCCTCCCATACTTGATGGGATGTTGTTCGGGGTGCACTGCCAGTCCTGCTTTTGTTGGTCACTGTGGGGTTTCTCTTGCCTTCCCTGTGTCTTCCTCCAACAGCGGCAGCACGTGTACAGTTCCCAGATGCCCAGGGTAAGGCTGACCGTGGCAGTAGCTAGCTGGCACATGGATCACCAAAGCTACACAGATGTTAGTGCGGAGCCACAGGAGCGGCCAGTGAACATTCCCGCTAGGCCAGCTGGTGGAGCCAGGACAAGGGGTGAGCTCTGGGGCCTGCCCCAGCCGCGTTGTTTTGCTTCTGCTGCAGGGTGCTGATCCTGTTGGCGTCTCCCCAGGATAGCCACGGGCCAGTGGTCTCTGTGTGTTTCAATGTTAGGAGTATCGGGATGAAGTGGAACTGTGGAACAGATTAGGAGCTGTAACTCCAGCTAAAAGGAGGGGCAAGGCGGCTGATAATCACCCCCGCAGGGTTCTCTCCTTGCCTATGCTGTAACCCCTGGCTTGCACAGGACAGCTTCAGGCCTGGCTCATTTTCAGTTTTCCTTGGGAGTCTTTTGTTTCCTGGACTCTGGTGGCAGCTGTTATCACTCCAGCTGCCGAGGGGATGGGAGGCGACTTCCTGTTGTTATTCTATCCTGCCATCCCTGGGGGAGGACGTTCCCACCCCCACCTCCTGCGGCTGCCTGGCTGTGCCTGGCTGTGGTTGGGCAGAACCTTAGCCTGGATGCGGCCAGCCAGCCTCTGACCAGGGCTGGGCCACTGTTTGAGGAAGACATCTGGGGCTCAGGGCACGGAACAGGCACTGACAGGCAGGTGTGTCCCCTGGGGATAGGCAAGGATGAGTGGCTAAGAGGGAGGTGAAGTGGTTGGTTTAGAAATTATCTGGGGGACTTTGGGGTTGTTGAATGAATGGTGGGTGGGCGGGGCTCTGGCCAAAGTGCCCCTCCCCCAGAGCGGGTGAGAGAGAGAGAGAGAGAGAGAATCTTCCACTTGCTGGTTCACTCCCCAAATGGCCACAACAGCCGGAGCTGGGCCAATCTGAAGCCGTGATCCAGGAGCTTCTTTCGGGTCTCCAAGCACTTGGGCCATCTGCTGCTGCTTTTCCCAGGCGCATGAGCCAGGAGCTGAATCGGAAGTGGAGCAGCCGAGACTCGAACTGGTGAGATGCCAGAGCTGCCCGCTATGCCCCAGGGCCAGCCCGAAGCATGTGTCTACATATCTGTACAACCCTAGAAACCTGGACAACAACCTTGGCTCAGGTATTGTCAGGCAACGGAGGTTCTGGATGGACATTTGAGAGACTGCCCAAAGTTCCCTGAAAGGAGGCAGCGAAGGGCCTGAACACTTTGTCTCGCCTTGTAGCACACAACGAAGTCTTGCCAGAAGACCGGATGTTAACTGAACTAGGCTTTGGAGAAGAGTGGGGATTCCAGTTAGGCCCAAAGGTGGGATCTGGGCACAGCCGTGAGATGGCAGGCGTGGAGGGAGAGCTCACAGCTGGGCGCTGCCGGGGCCAGGGGGGCTGGTGTGGAGGGACAGGCTCGTTGATGACGAAGCCGAACTCTAGTGGTAAAGATTCAGAGTGGGGGAACCCGCAGTCGGTGGGATGGCGCAGGTGTGACGGATGGCACGGTGGGGGCAGTGTCCGGCAGGTCTGAGCAGAGGCCCCGAGTCCGTGGGTTTCTGCAGCGTGGTGGTGGTTGGAAGCAGGTACACGGTGGACACTCAACACCTGTGATAACAGCACCGCCTCGGAGCCCAACAGCCCTCGGTTTCAACCGTGGTCTCCGAGAGATCTTGCTCCCGAATCCCGGCCTCTGATGCCTCCTGCTCACGTCAGGTTACCAACGCTCAGCTTCCGGGACGACTCGGGGTGGGGGCAGGTGGCCACGCCGCGGTCCACACGCGGTGAACCCGTCGGTCAGCAACGAGCCCTTGTCTTCCAGGAAGACGACGGGTGACGCACTCAGGTCTCCCTTGGCTCGGGTTCCAGAAACATCCCTCGGAACTGCTCAGACGGCCAGGAGTAAAGGCTGGCTGACTGCTATCTGGTGGCGCAGCCGCCGCGATTTCCCTCGGGCGGTTCGTCGGCGCCACGGCCCGGTTCCGCCCCTCACGCCCCCGTGGGTTCCCGCCGTGCGATCCAACCGCAGCCAGCAGTCGTCTTCCCTCTGGGGGTGCGGCCCCGTTTGCCCGGGAAGCTGGCGGGGCGCGAGCGCCGTGGCCGCACGCGGAAGCGGCCACGCGGCCCTCAGGGCCCCGGCGCCCCGGCGGCGGTTCCCCCGCAGACCCGGGCCCGGCGCCCGCCAAGTTTTGCGCGCGGCCGCGCGGGCTGGGCGGGCGCAGGCTCGTCAGGAGGATTCGCGGCGGGCCATTTTCCGCGCCGCCGGGCGCGCACTTGCCCGCGACGCGGGGGCGCTGGCTTTTCCCGCAGCCCGGGGCTCGCCGGGGGCGTTTCGTTTCGTTTCTGAGCACGCCAAGAAAAGTTTGCCGGGAGACCCGCCACCTTCGTCCCCGTCCCGTGCTCGCCTTTCCTTACACATAGTGGGAAAGGCAGCCGCCGCCCCCACCCCGCCCGCTTTTTTTTTTTTTTTTTTCCATCAACACCCACTTCCAGCTCCAGTCTTGCTCGGCGAGGAATGTATAAAATTAGTGGACTCCTCGGAGTGACTCTCGCAGGGCCCAATCAGCGGGGGCGCACGCGCGCCGCTCCGCCCCCTGCGGGCGCTCGTTGGCTGCCTCCCGCGGAGGGGCGGGGAGAAGGCGGCAGTGGGAGGGGGAGGTACCTGGGTCTGGGAGTGATGTCAGCGCCCAGCTCGGTGCCTGCCCGGATTCCTGACATGGTGTAGGGCGGACGGGGTGGGGAAGCGACCGGAGGACTCGCGCTCCGCCCGCCTGCGGCCGCACCGCGTGCCGGGCTTGGGACTCCGAGGGGAGCTGAAGCGGAACGTGGGGAAGCCGGCGCCCGCGCCTCGCCGCCCCGCAGGTAAGGGCGACCGGCGCGGCTCGGGACCGGGGAGGTGGCACCGTTGTGTGCTTGTAGCAGCAGCTACAGCTGCTGCTCCTCCTCCCCGGGCCGGTTTCCTTTTCCAACTCATTCCCGTTCCCTTGGAGGGCAGCGGGCACTCTGTGGGAGTGCTCCTGGGGGCTGCAGCTGAGCCCCCGTGGCTCCCGTGTGTCTGCCCGGTGGCAGTCACCCCCAGGGTCGGACGTGCGGGGGTCCCGTCCGTGTCCTTACGCGCCCACCCCCAGACCCCGGCCCCTGGCCCCTCAGTGATGATAGGCGAGGACCCCAGGGAGCGCAGTGAGTTGCTGGGTGGAGGTGTTTAAGAATGCCACAAAAAGTTTATGAACCGCTGACTCCAAAATTAGGCTTTTGGAGAAGCAAAGTTTTTGCCCCCCTCCTTAGTCCTCCTGTGGCCTGTTACGTATCTTGTAGATCACTGTAAAACCCGGATTTGTGTAGTCCAGGCAGGCTGAGAATTTGGATTTGTGTAGTCCAGGCAGGCTGAGAGTGAGCAGCTCCGGGGAAGCCGGCTGCGGGGGGCACGCCCGTGAGACCCTGCCTCCTGCTGGCGCGGTGACCCCGAGGGGCTGGGAGTCCGCGGGGGTCCTGCCGCGGCCGGGAGTGGTGTTTCCAGGGTCCCCCCCTTTTCTTTCTTCAGAGAAGCGAGTTTTCCCAGGGAAAGATGGTGGAAGGTGTGGCATGCCGACCTGGGCTTTCCCCGTGTGGGGCCGACGCAAACCCTGGCTTTCGGGAGGGTGCGCACAGCACAGGGGCGGAGAACTTGGTTTTTAAAGTCCAAGTTTGCTGTTGAGGGAGAGCCGCTGCCGGTTAGGAGGAGAAGCCCGAGTTTGAGAAGTGGGAGACCATCGTTCTGACTGGTGTTTCCTGCGTGTGCCCAGGGCATGATTGATTTTTTTGGGGGGAAAACTGGTAACTCCTGCAGGCTGCCCATCCAGAACCCTGGCTTATCCTTGCTTTCAGGCAAGGAAGAAACAGACCCACCTGTGGGCTCAGTCCGGTTTCCCCTTTCTCTCAGGCGGTTCCCCAGCTGTGGGAGCCTCTTGCGGCCAGGTCTGCAGGAAATGAGCCTGGACCTCATTGTGAGTCAAACGCCACCCGCCCGGCCCCTGAATGCAAAGGGCAGATCCCAGCGAGGGGGAGAAAAAAGAAGCCACAGCCCGGAGTCAGGAAATGCGACCGAGGACTCTTCCTGGGGTTCTCTCTTTGAAGTCCCGGGGACAGTTGGTTGCAGGGCTGGAACGAAGTGTTTTGCTTCCCTGTTGTTTATGGCACACCTGGGTCTGTATTGTTCTTCCTCGCTGAAAAAAAAAAAAAAAAGTAAAAGCCTGGGTAAAGATTTGCAGGCTTTTTTTTTTGAAAAGGCAGTGAGTGCCTTAAGGGGAAAGACCAGAGTGTTTTCTTTTTGGCTTTGTGTTTTGGAGGAGCGCACAGAAATTGCTGATGGCTCTGCAGTAAGGGTGTACTTGTGTTCTAGGGAATGTACTTAAAGCATCCTGTATTTTCCAGTGCATGTTTTCAGTAGGAAGGAGATGGGGGTGGGGGTACCTGTGGGCTTGGGGGCGCTCCCTGCAAGCAGCTGTTTGTGCGTCCACGCTGCAGCCTGTGAACCTGGGAGAGTCAGCTGCAAGAACCAGTCAGGTGAAGGAGATGTTATCTTGATGGGCCGGGTTTTCATCATGGCTTTCTTTCCAAGAAGCTGGTCTTGGTTTGGGGGCTTGGCTGTGCCACAGTCCTAAGTTGGACTCCCAGTTTGAGTCCCAGTGACTCTGTGTACTCAACTTTCTGTTTCAGAGGACAGCTGGGAAGGGTGTTTGGGATCCGGTCTTGGTTAGATTCCTTTTGATCAACAATCATTACAGGCCCAGTCACCATGAGGGCACTTGACGAAGTTTATGAAAAATAGGAGTTAGCTTTTGTGAAAAACAAACAAACAAACAACAACAACAACAAAAAACAAGACACACAGAAGTCTGCACAGGTTTTTTTGTGACGCACACTTCCATGAACTTTTTTGAAGACCTGGCCTGTTGCTTTTAGCGTTGGGGTCATCTGGCCTTGATGGACACACGTGGACTTGACAGTTAGTCCTCCTTGTAGTGTCAGACCTGTGGTGCCTAATTTCAAGGGTTTTGGGGAAGAAATTCCTCAAGGTTGAGTCCTTACAAGTGTGGCCTTCTTGTCAGCCACTGTTCCAGCCCGAGATAAATCAAAGCAAGGTCATTTTCCCCATAGTCACCGACGAGCCAGTGCCTTCAAAGACCCGTCTTCATACTCATGGAGTGTTTGTGATTTTTAAGTTAATTTAGAACATGTTGATAATTTGTTATACTGAAATCGGCTTTTGGAGGTTTTCGCTTTCGACTTTTCAAAGGGCCTCTATCCTAAGCAGCACCATTTTCCAATTGTTAACTGAAAGACCTCATTCATTTTCTGTCTTTTCAAGATACTATTACATGTCGAGGCCCGATCTGAATGACCTTTCCAAAACAGTGAATGAATGAAGGAATGCGTGTGGCTCCATTCATATTTGGGTCTGTGTGTCCGTGTGTCCTGGTTCTTCTTCTTCTTCTTTTTTTTTTTTGAAAAGCAGAGACACAGAGACAGGCAGGCAGACAGAACTCATCTCCTCGTTCCCTCTCCAAATGCCTGTGATAGACAGGGCTGGGCCAGCCTGATGCTGGAGGGCTGAGAACTCAATCCAGGTATCCTACGTGGGTGAGCGGGGCCCAGCTACTGGAGCCACTTACTTGAGAGTTAGCAGTTGGCTGGAATTGAGAGTGGAGCTGAGACTTCAACCCAGACACTTAGATATGAGATTTGCTGTCCCAACTGGCATCTTAACCCCTATGCCACATGCTCACCCAAGACTTGATTCTTTATTAAAGGAACGTGGCTTAAGGTGAGAACACAGGCAGGAAGTATCATATAATGACATTTTTATTTTCAGATATTTCCCTAGAAAGTCATATTAGTTCCGAAATTAAGAAAAAAGAAGTCATACTTGAGCAGCCAATTGTGAAATTTTCCTGGGAGTCATAATAATTATTGCTTTTTCTTTTATTTATTTTTTTAAAACCACAACCAAACAGATGAGTTTCAATAAGAGAGTCCGAGCTGTTACGATTAGTGTTGGTGCTGGCTGCTGTCTGAGTGGAGAAGGGACAGAGTGTCCACCGTCCTGGCCAGCATTTTTGGTTGATATGTTCACGACTGAATCAGCCATCAAACTGTCCCCAAAGTGACACTGTCCCGAAACTGCTCTGGGCTTGTGCAGTTCCCTGCATCTGTAGCATGTTGTGTCATTTGTTTCCCAAATTCACCGCAGTGCATGTCAGAACCTTCTAGTAACAAACCCTACAGCTTTTGTCACATATATCACCACCCCAGAGACTGATGCTTTATTAAATGGAGCTTGCGGCTTAAATGAACTGAACTGAATTAACTCACCCTACCAAATACAAAGACCCTTCTATTTCTTTTCCACTCTTTATTTTAGAGTAATTACTGATGCTAGCTACTTTGACTTAGCTGCTGATGTTTCAAAAAGCCAAAAAATACTTTAGTGTTTTTCTTCACTTTAAAAAAAAAACTGAAACACCAAACAGCTGGGTTTTAGGTTTAAACATGAGCCCTGATGGGAGTTTTAAGTTTGCACACTTATTAGGCAGGTTGGGGGAGGGGTGGGGTGGGACTGGGTGAACCGAGTCCAGTCTATACCTGTCTAAGAGCTTGTTTTTCTGAAAAGGGGCTTTGAACTCTGCGTGGTCCAGGAGGGTGTGTTGTCAGAGCTTGTGGCTGACCTTGGTTTTGGGTCTCCGGCTCCTTGCTGTGATTCACCCTTTGACCGGCCCACATGCACACATCCTTGTGTGTGTTGGCAAGGGTGAGGAGTTCAGAATAGAAAGATATTCGGTGGTTTCTGTCCAGTGGTCCACCTTACAACGCCCATGACTGAAGGAGTTGTGCAAACGCAAATTGCACTGAGTGCCCATCTTCCTGGCCCAGGCTAGGCTTACGTAGGAAGAAGGTTCTAGAATATTTGGGCTTGGTCAGAGATTTTATGGACACCTTCTGAACTCCAGAGTGAGTCTGAATACTTTAACCTCTGATTTAATTCAGGGGAATCAAGCATTTGACGTAAAAACAAGTACAAGTTCAGGAAGGTGAGTGTGTTCCTTCCGTGTGTGTGTGTGCGCGCGCGCGCGTGTGTGTGTGTAAGCAGGACAAAGTTAATTTCTCCTGATGGGAGAGCTATTTTCAGGGATGAGTCTATTTAGTACCATGGGGGCTGATTTTTGGGCAGGCCAGGTAGTTCTGGGGAAGAATTAGGTAGGCCTGTTGGAAAGTGTGTAGGTCTTGTCCTGGCATGACTGTAGAGCTGTACCCTCCTCCCCCCCCCCCGGGGGGGGGGGGGGGCCCTGGTTTCTGGTTTTTTTGTGCGGGGAACGGGGTCCCCCAGGGCCCTTGGTTCACCCTTTTTTCCCCCCCCCCTGTTCCAAAAACCTTCCAAAGTCGCTTCCACCACCCATTCTACAGTGGACCGTGAGAGGTTTTTAAAAAAGTTTTTTTTTTTTTTCCAGTTTATTTGAAAGACAGGGAGCTCGAGAGAGGCCATCCACTGGTTTACTCTCCAAATACTTGTTGTGGCCAAAGCCAGGAGCTGGGAACTCCATCCAGTTCTCCTGTGTGAGTGGCAGGGACTCAAGTCCATGAGCCATCAGCTGCTGCCTGCCCAGGTGCACGCTGGCAGGAAGCTGGGAATTGGGAGTGGAGTAAGGACCCAAACTCAGGCCTTCCTATGGGATGTGGGCATCCCAAGTGGTGTCTGAAGTGCTTCACCAAGCACCCCTCCTGATACAAGTTTATTATTTAACTTATTTCAAAAGCAGGAGAGACAGACAGACATAGATACCCTCCATCCACTGGTTCACTTCCTAAATGACCACAATGGCCAGGGC